AACACACTTCTGTTGCACTTTGCCTTTTTCCCTGTAAGAGGAGAAAGAGAAGATTTCCCACTGATGTGATCCGCTGCTCCAGCCTTTATTCACTCAAAAGGAAAAGACCCCCTCCCCCTCACTGCCTTCCAGTCGGTTCCGACGCATAGCAACCCTATATGGCAGAGAAGGACTGCCCCTGTGGCTTTCAGAGACTGCCGCTCCTGATGGGAGCAGAACGCTGCTGCGTTCTCCTGAGGAGCAGCTGTGGTTACCAGCCCCAGGGACTGCACTTGCGCAACCACGGCCATCTAAGGCACATATTGAGGACTGGTGGTTCATAAGTAGAGCTCTCACCTTCCATGCAAGAGACCCAGGTGCTGGCCAGTGTGCCCAGTACAGCCACTACCCTGCTGTTTTCATGGAGGCTTTCATGTGGGGGAACTCTGGTGATGTGGCGGTTACGAGTTGGGCTGCGATCTGCATGGTTGGCAATTCAGAACCATTAGCAACTCCTCAGGAGAAAGTCCAGGTTTTCTACTACAGTCAACAGTGATAGTCTTGGAAACCCACTGAGGTCACTTTGAGTCCGCATTGACTCGATGGCAGTGAGCTTGGTTTTCATGTTACTGTGATGCTGAACAGTTTTCAGCGGAGCTTCTGGACTTAAGAATAGGAAGAAAAGCGTGTCAATCACCCTTTGAAGGTGGACCACAACAGTCCAGTCTGGTTACCCATAGGGCTGTCAGGAGCCAGGCGCTGACTCGGTGGCCACTAACAGCAGGAACCAGTTCCCTTCTGAGGGCATGTGGATTTGAAAGGTAGATGACCTGAAGTGGACACTCTGTTCTTCGAGCTGGATTACTCTGCTCTTAGGGGGGGGTCCCTTCAGTGTGACTCTTCAGGTGGATAGACTTAGTGATTCTCCAGTGCTTAATCTTATGAGACTTTTAAAAAAAAGTTGGCTGTATATCTAAATGCACCCACCTCTCTTTAACTATATGGAAAATATACCCCTTCCATCCAGAGGACATCCTCAGAGGCCTTACCACAGACCCAAATCAAGGCAGACTTGTTCCTGTGCTTGAATTTAATCATCTGATGATTTTCTTCTTCAAAGGGATTTGGTGCTGGCGGCATCTGCGGCTTCCACAGAAGTTAGTATCCTGGCTCGACAAAGTGATCAGGTAAATAATCTCTCTGTGTCACTTTTTTAGAATCAGCTCCATGGTTGAGATGAATTTCACACCCTTCAGTTTCTGAATGAGCACAAAGCTTAAATGACACATTGGCTCGGGTCAGGTGGCGTGGCTGTGGCTGTGAGCAAACATGAGTGTCAGTGTTCTTTGAGGCTCTAGCCCCACGGTCTGTGGGAATAGACGTTGTGCTCCCCCTCGAGCAGGAATGTACCTGGATGGGTAGGAGGCTGCATCTCCTTTGCGCTGCTGTAGCACCTTTATTTTCTTCCTATTGACGGAGCCTGCCGCTTTCATACAAGCAATGGCCACACGCCCCTGCATGTGGAAGACATGCAGGTAATAACAGGTGGGGACAGACTCCTAGAAATAGCGTGCTTGACTTTGAAAGGCAGCCAGAAAGAACAAAGTCCCTCGGTCCGTCGGGACCCCTCTTACTTCCTTCTCTCACGGTGCTTGCAGTAGACGGGTGGACTGCGCACTGAGGGAGAGACGTCTGCCTTAGACAAGCAGAGCGCTTGCGGAGCAGGGGAGATGACAGGGAGCATGTTTTCCATGGACAGCCTTGGTGTTTCCTACACTATCCGTACACAAGCACCCGTGCTGCTGCAGTCACTTGGCCTTTGTCATTTTTCTGGGGGGCAGGTTGGGCCCACTGTAAGTGGCATGGTTTTCATATGTTTTTGGCTTTTTTAATGTTCATTTTTAGGTCATTGGACAAAATTGAATTGCATAAATACCTTATGTATCCGTGCTTTAAAAGTAGGCTTTTATTTTTACCAAAATAATATATGTACGTCCTTCAAATAGCAACTTGTATGGCAGGCTTATCAATGAAGAGAACCACTTTCCCGAATTCCAAGCCTTTCTGTTTCAGTACTGCTCTCCAGAGGGAACCATTGTTAATTTGTCAGCTCTTCTACTTTCTCCTCTTCGCTAGTAGGTATTAGCAATCATAGGCTTCCTTGGTTTTGTTTATAGATTGTGTCTGAAAGTTGCCGTTTTGTGTACATTATTATGAAGCAGAGGGTAAGTGGGGAAGCATTGCTACTAGCATTCCAGTTCCTGCTTAGAAGCCTTTATTCCGTCTAAAGCGTGTGTGGACCTGTCTCTGCCATCGGTGGATGAGCGCAGACAACTTGCATTGTTTTCCAAAGGGATCTGCGGCTGCAGACGATGAGGTCCTCTCAGTGAGATGCTGGTCTTAGTCCCATTAGGGGGCCTTCAAAATCGGTGACAGGCCCAGTCAAGTCATTGGCTCCTGGGAGATGTTGGACTAGTTACGTCAGGGTAGAGAGGCCAGCTCAGAAGGTCAGGCTTCTCAGCGTGCCCTCTCGCTAGCTGTACTTGAAGGGCACAGGGTCATCGCAGCAGCTATTGTGAAGGTTTAAGAAAATTGAAGACTTGGTGAGGAAAAGCCAGGAAAGGGGTGCCCAGGAGTCTCTTCCATCACAGCAATGGCATCTGTCTCTTCTCCAGGCGTAGCTAGTGCTGTCCTGGAGAATTTCGCCAGGAAGCCTTACCCTATGTACACTCAAACCCTGATCTTGTCCCCGCATACATTTTTATTGTGCTCCAAACTCAAAGAGCATTTAAGAGCACAGTCGAGCCCCTCTAGGAAGCCCCAACTGCTGTTTTTGTTAAAATACAGATTAGATAGAAGTGCCACTGTCAGGAAGTTGTTGAGAGCCAATAGTTTCACATGTTGATAGTTCTGCGTAATACACATTTTTGTGGTTTGGTAGCAATTTTTGTTTTGGTAGCAGTTATTTTTGACTTTCCCTCATCTATGAGTGATAGACACTCATAACCAAATCTTGTAGTAGGTTTATGTTCCCCTTCCCAGACCACTTTTTTTCCTCCTTTGTTCCATACTGGGGACAATTCCTCTTTGATTCTTGCTGTCCAGTTTTCCTGAAAGTGAGAAAAGCGTGGTGTGTTTTTTTAATTGGGAATCCTTTACTGGAAAATAGACTGCTCAATCAAGCATAAGCCTCGGGGTCTTCTCAAGGAATCCAAAGGCAAAAAGGCTGACCTGGAGGAGCTGGCTCAGAACGTGGGCCACCTGTTTCTGACGAGCAAGCACAGGCCATCTGGCCCAGCTATAAGGTCGTCTCTGTTCAAGACCCCGGCAGAGACTGATTGAGTTCCTTAGCCCCGACCCTAAATGTCTAGGCACATGGACTGGCTGGCTGTCGGGTTTAGCACAGCTCGGGGATTTGCCCCCCTTGAGTTACGAAATCTACCTTGGTTGTGGTAGGAGGTAGCTCAGAAAACGTTCACAGTCATGATTATTGATTCACAAGGTAGGGACTTGGTTCACCAGGAACAGATTAGTTAATTTGGAAAATAAACCTCTTGGCTGCTGGAGTACGCGTACCTTAGACGGTTCCCCAGGTCTCAGCCTCACAGTCCACACGAAGGTCGGCCGGGTGTCTGCTTTTCCTTCTCTCCTGCTCGAATGATACAGCGAAGAACCGATGCAGAAGTAAACTGGTGTTTTCTTCCCTTTTTTCAGGTTAACTGGGAATCTTGGCTTCTAGAGGATTCTAGCCGAGCGGAACTGCCTGTGACCGACAAGAATGAAGACTCCTTGCCCATGGGCGTTGCCATCGATTATACAAACCAAATGGAGATTACTATCAGTAAGTGTAGCCTGATGTTTAGTGCAGAAATAGGCTTTCCTCTGCTGCTTGATTTCTAAATGCCACTTAAGTGTGTTCATGACATCTTCTAGAAGCTGAGCACGTCCATCCTCTTGTTGGAAAAGGCTAGAGAGTGTGTCATGCTAACACTGAACCTAATGAGACCAAGGCCAGACACAACCCATCCATATTGTGTGTGCTTTAGAATATGGTTGAGATATGAAACATTTTAGGTAAAAGGAAGCCATACGTGAAACTTGGAGCAAGGACTTTTCCATTTTTAACTGCATGGGCCGTCTCACCTTGGAACTGAGAAACACTGATCTAGAAATAGAAATCTGTGTTGGCCTCTGAAGATTCAAACATGGCCCTCGCCCCTAGCATTGTGTGATGAAATTTACAGAGATACAGGAAAGTTGAGAGAATTCCTCATTGGACACCCATATGCTCACTGCCATGAACATTTACTCTTGCTTTGTGACCTAGCCCTTCTGTCTGTCCATCAGATGCCGTTTCTTCCTACTTAACGTGAAGCAAGGGAGCCCTGGTGGCGCAGTATCTACACACAAGGCCAGCAGATTGAAAACACCGGCTGCTCCTGGGGAGAAAGATGAGGCTTTCTCAGAGGTTCTCAGAACCGCACAGGGGCAGTTCTACCTTGTCCTATCGGGTCACTGTGAGTCAGAGTTGACTTGTTGGCAGTGACTGGTTTGTTATCAGTTTGATATACTAAGGAGCCTTGATGGCGTGGTGGGCTACGCACTGGACTGCAACACAAGGTCAGCAGTTTGAACCCACCAGCCAGGAGAAAGATGAGACTTTCTGCTCCTCTGATGATTTACAGGCTTGCATAGGGTACTGTGTGTCAGAATGACTCGGCGGCAGTAAGTTGGGATTGGTATGTGAACCTCTGGCTTGCATTTAATTTTTTGAGTATATAAATATTACCAATAAAATCCCAAACCCACTACCATCTAGTCAATTCTGACTGTTAGCAACCTTATAGCACAGAGCAGAACTGCTCCATAGAGTTTCCAAGATTGTAGATCTTGATGGGAACAGACAGCCGCATCCTTCTCGCTGAGTGGCTTGTGGTTTTGAACCACTGACCTTGCATTTAGCTTACTTGACAGCACCACCAGGACTTCTTACAAAATGTTCACATGTGATTAAAAGTAAAAATCCTAGGAATGTGCACTGGAGACATGTCCCTCCCTTCCCTGTCTCTCCCTCTCTGCCCAGGCCACCTCCTCGTAGGCAGTTATTTTATTTGTGGTTTATCATTCTGTGTGCTGTGAGGGATGGGACAGAAATAAGCAGATACACATATATAAGAGGGAAACTTCATGCGGAAATGGACTCCATAGATACTGCAATTTTTCCATCAACTTTTTGAAGTCCCCTTCTATACCTTCCTGGCTGGCATGGTGGTTACACATTGGACTGCTACCAACAAAGTCAGCTGTTCGAAATCACCAGCAGCTCCTCGGGCAAAAGATGAGACTTTCTACTCCTATAAAGAGTTAGTCTTGGAAACCCACAGGGACAGGTCTCTCCCGTCCTATAGGGTCTCTCTGAGTTGGAATCAACTCGACAGTGAGTTCTATGCAAGACATGCTGTGTGTGTGCAATTGTGCTGCACAGTTTTTCATTCAACAGTGTTTCCGGTAGGGGGGTCAACTCCACGGCACAGCAGAGACCTACTGCATTCTTCCTAAGAGCACCATAGGCCTGTTGTATGGGAGTGTTACAGTGTAACTCACTAGTCTTCTATGCATGCGTATAGAGGTTATTTTCACGATCACAAGTAAAATAATGGCACTGTGGCCTTATTTATTTTGTAATTGTGCAGGTGTAGCATCAGGATGAATTTCTAGACATGAAATGGCTGAGTCAAGGGCATCATGCAGATGTAGTTGCTATGTCTTCCCTACACCTGGCTTGTACCATTTTGCATACCTGAAATAGTGTCTGTTTCTCCATAGCTTTGCCAGAAATGTGTTCTCTAAAAAGAATTCTTTAATGCCCTCATCAGAGAAAGATGCTGCGTGCCAAGATTGTTTTGAGGGCCTGTGTTAGAACAAAGTGCAGACCTGGAGCACGGGCCGTAAGATCCAGTGTACGTCTAGCATCTCACTGCCCCGCAGTAGGGCAGGTACAAGTACAACAGGAGAGATGCTTGTGATCTGCCTTGGGTGCACTGGCTTAAAGAAGGCGCCCTGGCAGAAACCATGAAGTTTCTTGTCCTTTCCCTGCTTAGCCAGGAGTATTTGCTCCGATCAGTTTGCACTATTCAAAACAGAGACATTGATTTACTCTGGTTCTCTTGAAATCTTATATAGAAAAAAGCAAAACGTGTGATTCTGCTGTGAATAAATCCACAATCATGTGACTGGTGTCTTTGTGTCCTGGCATGTGCAGTTTAGCCTCATGAGTGACTCAGCAGACAGAAGATAGGCTCAGAATTCCTCTGACCAAGGCCGGAATCTAGCTGTGTTGTTTTAGTACAAAGCTCAGAACTGAGAGAGCCTGGGAGAGTCACAGCCACAGCAAGCTTAGCGTGGCTGGTGGTGATCTGGTGACGGCAACCACGCTGCACATAGTCGGTGTGCAAAAGGCTGCTCGGACCGAATCAGAACGAACTCACTTGAGCTGCTGTGGAGATGAGTCCATCAAGCCCCCTTCTTTCTCTGGGCAGTCTTCCCAATGGGACCGTGTCCTTTTAAGGTAACTTGAGTCTCTGCTTTTATCACTTTTTTTCACTCCTCTGTTTTACAGATGATGAAAAGACTCTCCCTCCGGCTCCAGTTCTGATGTTACTTTCAACAGACGGTGTGCTTTGCCCATTTTATATGATCAATCAAAATCCTGGCATTCGATCCCTCATCAGGTCACCTGAGCAGCTCTCATTAGAAGGGGAGCGACAGACCAGGTCATCAGGTATGTGACTCTCCCTGCTTTGGCAGGAAGGGGTTATCATTGGCTTGTACAGAAGCATTCCCAAGGAGGAAAACTGCCCAGGGGTTACCGTCATCTGACCGGGCTCCGGCAGTAAAGCAAGGACTGCTCTTCCCCTAAATACACACGCCCCACCAGTCTGCACTTCACAACGGTGTAGCCAAACTGAAGGGCAGCCAGGTAGATTCTTTCAGATAATTTAACAATAAATTGTCCTATAAGACCATATATCAGGGGTCCTTAAACTTTTTAAACAGGGGGCCAGTTCACTGTCCCTCAGACTCGTTGGCGTGCTGGACTATAGTTTAAAAACAAACTATGAACAAATTCCTATGCACAGTGCACATATCTTATTTTGAAGTAAAAAAACAAACGGGGCAAAAACACCTGGCGGGCCAGATAAATGTCCTCAGCCGGCCGCATGTGGCCTGCAGGCCATAGTTTGAGGACACCTGCCATATATTGTGTGATCAGAATCCTATAGACGTGGTACTTAATCATGAGATTTAGGCTAATTAAATGGTTTTACATTTATAGACAGATGTCGTAGAACTATTAAAAATGTCATTGACAAGGAGAGTTAATGGGGCATAATGTGGAAAGGTGTATACTGTGTAATCCCTATATGTAAGGGAAAAAAAAATATTTCTAGACATAGAAAATACGTGACAGGTGGATAGTAAAGTGACTATTTTAGAGGGCAAGGGGCCTGAGGATTTTCTATTTTTGTTTATATTTTACAGCAGTGTTTAGGTTTGCTTTTTCTTTTGTTTTTTAGGAGAAAAATTAGCAAAAAGAAAAACCGCACAAAATTCATAAATATCTAGAGGCCATATTTTGGTATATGCTTTTCTTGCACATGACTGCACACGTATAAATACTAATCTTTTTTTCAAGTGGCCATGTTGATCTCCTTGAAGGAGATAAAATAAAACTCTTAAAAGACACTGTAAGCCATCTGTGGGTATCAAATTGACGAGAGTAACTCAAAAGATGAGCTAGGCACTTAGAGAACAGTGTGGTGGGCTGCTAGCTGTGTGGTCAGTAGTTTGAAACCACCAGTTGCTCCATGGGAAAAAGACAAGGCTTTCTACTCTTCTAAACAGTTGCAGTCTCAGGAACCCAGAAGGGCAGTTCTGCCCTGTCTTACAGGGTTGTCTATGAATTGGCATGGGCTCGATGCCCTGGGCTGAGGTGCTTTGTGGCGTTTATGTGACTAGGGAGAATCAACTCTGACAAGGAGGGAAAGGAAGTAAGCCTGGTTGAACCACTTGAAGAAGCTAACGATGCCATTAAGTTGTACATGCAGAAACTGGTGTATGTTTTGTCGTGTGTATCAAACACAATAAAGTAAATGAAATTAGTGGGCAGGGGAGTGGTCTGTGGACCAGAACCAAAGCATTAACTGTTTAGTATCAGTGATGACCATAGAGATTGGGTGTAAACATTTAGAAACTTTTATGTCAATTTTGAATAATTTATATATGTTCAAACTAATAACTAAAAGTAAGGTTTATGATTTTTAAGGGCATTATATGGTTTTGCATACTATAATTTCATTAACATTTCTCTTTTTGAACAGTGACAATTTACTTGAAGTTCTGTTTTCAGAAAGTGGTATTTTCAATTTATATCCTAAATATTTCATTGGTTTAAACATAGAATCTTTTTTTTTTCTTTCAAATTTTCTATAGCTTTTTTATAAAACTTTTTATATTATATTTTTAAAAATCACTTTATTAGGGGCTCGTACAACTCTTATCACAATGCATCAGTTGTGTAAAGCCATTTGTACATTCATTGCCCTCATCATTCTCAAACATGTGCTTTCCAAAGTAAGTCCCCTGGCATCAGCTCCTCATTTTTTTTCCGCTCCCCGCTCCCTCATGACCCTTGATAATTTATAAATTATTGTTTTGTCATATCTAACATTGTCCGACATTTCCCTTCACCCACTTTTCTGTTTTCCGTCCCAGGGAGGAGGTTATATGTAGACCCTTGTAATCAGTTCCCCCTTTCCACCCCACCCTCCCTCCACTCTCCCAGTATCGCCACTCACACCACTGGTCCTGAAGGGATCATCTGCCCTGGATTCCCTGTGTTTCCAGTTCCTGTCTGTACCACAGTACAGCCTCTGGTCTAGCCAGATTTAAGGTAGAATTGGGATCATGATAGTGGGGGCGGGGGTGGGGGAAAGCATTTAGGAACTAGAGGAAAGTTGTATGTTTCATTGTTGCTACACTGCAACCTGAATGACTTGCCTCCTCCCCGCAACTCCTCTGTAAGGGGATGTCCAATTATCTACAAATGGGCTTTGGGTCTCCACTCCTCTCTCTCCCTCATTCACAGTGATATTTTTTTTTTTGTTCTGATGATGCCTGATACTTGATCCCTTCGGCACCTCGTGATTGCACAGGCTGGTGTGCTTCTTCCATGTGGGCTTTGTTGCTTCTGAGCTAGATGGCTGCTTGTTTACCTTCAAGCCTTTAAGACCCCAGATGCTATATCTTTTGATACCCGGGCACCATCAGCTTTCTTCACATTTGCTTATGCACCCATTTGTCTTCAGCGATCTTATCAGGGAGGTGAGCACACAATGATATGATTTTTTTGTTCTTTGATGCCTGATACCTGATCCCTTTGGCACCTCATGATCATGCAGGCTAGCGTGCTTTGTCCATGTGAGCTTTGTTCCTTCTGAACTAGATGGCCGTAAACAGAATCTTTTAAGAAATTATACTCTCATCTAATGTGGAAGAACCAAGACCCACTAATGTAAATGGAAAATACATTGATACAAAAATGTTCCTTTCTTATTTTGTTACTTCATTTAGAGAATGAATATGTTTGCATTATAGAAAAGTTGGAGAATAAAAAAATCTTGAAACATGCTTTTGGGATATTCTCTTCCAGTGCGTGTGGTAAACATCTCCTATGTAATTGTAATTGTACATCATGGTAGCTGGTTTTAAATTTCAATTATTAATATTTTTGAGGTTTTTCTGCAGTCTTGCATGACTCATTTAAAAGAATTACCGTTTAATGTTCCATTGAATAATTTTTATTTTGGGTTGTATAAACTGTTTTTGTGCTATTATCTTTTTTCATCTTTTAGTATGTTTTCATAGCCCTTATTAGAATGGAGATTACTGCATCCATTTTTTTAGGGTTGGTGAGACAAAATATTTTCTCTTAAAAAAACCCCTGTTGAATTAGATAACCCCCAGTTATAAAAAGTTTGAGATTCATTTTTACCTGTTTAAACATTAAGGTTTGTGTGTGTGTGTGTTTGTGTGTGTGTGTGTGTGTGTGTGTGTGTTTTGATAACTTAGAGGATCTAAAATACATTTCATTTAAATTTTCATTTCTTTCATTAGCAGGACAGCATATTTACTTTCTGTGAAGTAGGTTTCCAGCTTATATTTATTAGACTCCTGAAGTCTTTTAAAGTCAATGTGTATGAGTTGTTCAAGGTGTGCTGCAGCTCTTTCCTGCACTCTGCTTGGTAGCAGGCTGCTGTGCTGCTGGAGGCTCTGCCAGGGATCTTTTAAATGCCCGCAGTCACCTATGCCGAGCAGATTCCTGTGGGACATCTAGTGTATTAACAGACTCAGAAGGAGGAAGAGGCAGTCCACTTCTGAAAAGTTAGCCACCGAAAACCACGCAAATAGCCATGGACTGTTGTCTGATACCGTGCCTGCAGCTGAGCCTCTCGAGTTGGCAGGCACCCAAAACAGAACTGGAGAGGAGCTGCCGCCTCAGAGTAGATGCGGTGGGGCCGAGCTTTGGGTCCTTCATTTGCATGCCTCAGAATCAGAAGAAACAGCTGCAAACTTTTTCTTTTTTAATAGTTGAAACACAGAATGTATAAAATATAAAGCTAGGAAAATTGAAGCTCATCAAAAATAAAATGGATCACATAAAGATTAATATTCTAGGTATTAATGAGCAGAAATGAACTGGCAATGGCCATTTTGATTCAGGCAGTTGTGGTTTACTATGCTGCAAATGACAGATTCAAGAGGGTGAGGTTGCTTTCATCATCAAAAAGAATATTTCAAGATCTATCTTGCAGTAAAATGCTGTCTGATTGGGTTATATATATATATATATATATATATATATACATACCCGCGAGGAAGAACAGTTAACAGAGCTGCTATTCTTATTTGTGCACCAACCATTCAAGCCAATGATGAGGCAATCTGAAAGTGATTGGACATGTACTCAAGATGCATTCCTAATTACTCGTCATTGGGATGCTAAACTTGGAAACTGAGTGTCGAAGGATCGGTGGTTTAAAACTATAGCCTTGCTGATAGAAACCGTGCTGGAGACCACCCTAAGAGAACTTTGCAAGACCGACGGCTGTGTCATTGCAAATACCTTTCCCCACAGCAACAGTGACCATGTATTTGGACTTGACTAGGTGGACTCTACGGGAATCAACTTGACTACGTCTGTGACAGGGCATCAGTTGCTCATAGGCAGTTTACAAGTTGAAGCTGGAGACAGAGTAAGTCCTGGAGAGTTAATGTACAACCTGAGTTTTAGAGAACCTCTGGAGAACACATTTGAAGCAGTGGAAACACTAATGACCAGTTGTGGAATGACATTAAGAACATCACACACGAAGAAAGCAAAAGGTCGTTAAGACTAGAAAGAGAAGACTGAAGTGGATGTAGGGAGACATTCAGAAACTTCCTCTTGGAGGTAGAGTAGCTGAAGTCAATGGAAGAAATGATGACGTAAGAGAGCTGAACAAAA